TATTCTCGTTTTCTTGGTCTCATTTGATAGAGTGTAAAACATATTATAGAAATAGAGGTTATTTTGATTGATTTTACTATAAAAAGAAGCTGAAAATGGAGCTCAAAGTAGGGGAAATGTTTGATTTTTGCCAATGTTCAAAAGTAAACAAATGATGTCGTTGTCCAATAAATGTCCAACTAGCCATTCTAATATGCAGTAATGAATGGGTTGATGTTATTTATACAATTATTACAGTATTGCAGTAGTCTGCATAATAGTAAGTCTTCTATTTTTTGTTTGAATAAAAATTCAAAATAGAAAGCAAGAGTAATATCAGAGGGGCCTGGAGACATGACTGATGAACAAAGAAAATGTTATTTTAGAGCCAGGAATGTCTGCACTGTTCATTCTGGATCTTATTTTGAAATTGTCATATTTTTTTGTTTTCGTGAAATTGGCCAAATTGCAAATTTCTGACCACATTATTAGGTAGTTGAAATCAGTAAATGGGCAGTTTCTTGTACTCAATCGATAGAAAAAATGGAGTTCTAAAGAAACAGCTATGAGTTTGGTTGACTGGAACAAAAGAATTAGCCGAAAATAGGGCTCAAAGTGGGCAAAATCGCCGATTTGTAAATATCGCCGAGGTCGCTAACTTCGCGAGAGCATAATTCCATCAGTTTTCCATCAAATTTCGCTTTTTTTGGTGTCATTACAATTGGGAAAAGATTCTCTATCATTTCATAAGAAAAAATATTCTTTTTTTTTTTTTTAAATTTTGCGACACCAGGAGACACCTCAAGATTGGGGGTTGCGACAGTGAAGGGGTTAAAGGAGGGGTTTGGGATATTGGCAGTTCGGAGGGATATGTTGTGTATCTTTATACATATATTCCTCTAAACTGTTGAATTCTAAGCACCTCTGCAGGAATATCCACTAGGAATTTTTATTGACCATGCGCTTGCATATTTCAAATCTTACCTTACTAATAGGTATCAGTATGTCACCATTAAAGACACAGCATCAACAACACAGCCACTTGATACTGGAGTACTGCAGGGAAGTGTCCTTGGTCCCCTGCTCTTCCTCATATACATCAATGATCTTCCAAACATATCTCGACACCTGAACCCCATTCTCTTTGCTGACGACACGACTTATGTCATCTCTCACCCTAATCTTGCCACCCTCAACACCATTGTTAATGAGCAGCTGATCAAAATATCGACTTGGATGACAGCCAATAAACTTACGCTTAACGTTGACAAAACCTACTACATTATGTTTGGTAGCAGAGCAGGAGATGCGCAAATTAACATTAAGATCGACAACGCTCTAATTGCCAGGCATAATGAGGGCAAATTCCTAGGCCTATACCTCGACAACACCCTGAACTTCAGCACCCATATCCAACACATAACCAAAAAAGTATCCAAAACGGTTGGGATCCTCTCCAAGATACGATAATACGTGCCGCAAACTGCCCTTCTCACACTATACCATTCACTTATATATCCATACCTCACCTATGCTATCTGTGCTTGGGGTTCAACTGCAGCAACACACCTAAAGCCAATAATAACCCAACAAAAAGCCGCAGCAACACACCCCCCCACTCTTCATAGATCTAAACTTACTCCCTGTTCAGTACATCCACACTTACTACTGTGCAATCTACATCTACAGGACCTTAAATTCCAAGATTAACCTTGACCTAAAACGCTTTCTTGATAGTTGTGACAGAACCCACAGGCACAACACCAGACACAAACATCTCTATGACATTCCCCGTGTCCGACTAAACCTTTACAAAAATTCAATGTATGTCAAAGGCCCTAAAATCTGGAACACCCTACCTGAAAATTCCAAAACTGCAGACACATTCATCACCTTCAAAACTACCATCAGAAAACATCTTATCTCCCTGATACACCCTGTCAACTAATAATACGAATACCACCTGGTGGTTCACACTTACACTCACTCACCCATTTGACCATAAACAGAAATATCAATCTCAATCTCAAAATAATGAATCTTAACTAGTCATAAGTTGGCCTGTGATACTCCAATACTGAAAACTATGTATAGTGCCAAAACAAAAGCATTCACATTGCTAAACTCACAACTAGTATTTAGTCACTTAGCCATAATACCAACTTACCTCATAATTTTGTAATATTTTAAACTTAAGATTTAATATAAGTCTGCCTGAAATGCCTAGCCATGCTAGGTGTTCTAGTGGTACACTCTGTAATTATTATTTTACTACATGTAAACCACACAATAACCAAATTCTGTAAACTCAGCATTGTAATCCTTATAGAGAATAAACTTTGAATTGAATTGAATTGAAAACAGTGATTATGTGCGAGTAAGGTGAAAGTGTTGAATGATGATGAAAGTATTTTCTTTTTGGAGATTTTCTTTCTTTTTGGGTCACCCTGCCTCGGTGGGAGACGGCTGACTTGTTAAAAAAAAAAAATGAAAGAGTTGGCACCACTATACCCTGAAGCATCCCCACTACTGCATCTATTCAGAAACCTCTGCCATTCATTCTTCAGTACCCCTGAAATTAACCCTTTGACTGTCGCAACCCCCAATCCTGAGGTGTCTCCTGGTGTCGCAAAATTAAAAAAAAAAAAAATTATTTTTTCTTATGAAATGATAGAGAATCTTTTCCCGATTGTAATGACACCAAAAAAACGAAATTTGATGGAAAACTGACGGAATTATGCTCTCGCGAAGTTAGTGACCTCGGCGCTGTTCAAAAATCAGCTATTTCGCCCACTTTGAGCCCTATTTTCGGCTAATTCTGTTGTTCCAGTTGCCCAAACTCATGGCTATTTCTTTAGAACTCCATTTTTTCTATCGATTGAGTACAAGAAACTGCCCATTTACCGATTTCAACTACCTAATAATGTGGTCAGAAATTTGCAATTTGGCCAATTTCACGAAAACAAAAAAATATGACAATTTCAAAATAAGGTCCAGAATGAACAATGCAGACATTCCTGGCTCTAAAATAACATTTTCTTTGTTCATCAGTCATGTCTCCAGGCCCCTCTGATATTACTCTTGCTTTCTATTTTGAATTTTTATTCAAACAAAAAATAGAAGACTTACTATTATGCAGACTACTGCAATACTGTAATAATTGTATAAATAACATCAACCCATTCATGACTGCATATTAGAATGGCTAGTTGGACATTTATTGGACAACGACATCATTTGTTTACTTTTGAACATTGGCAAAAATCAAACATTTCCCCTACTTTGAGCTCCATTTCTAGGTTCTTTTTATAATAAAATCAATCAAAATCACCTCTATTTCTATAATATGTTTTCCATTCTATCAAATAAGACCAAGAAAACGAGAATACAACCATAAATACTATACAAAAATAGACCACAAAGTCGGCATTTTAATTAAAAAAAAAACGGTCGGAGTTTTTTTTTTCTCATTATGCACTGCGTGCTCCAGGATTTTTTTTATATGGTGCACACTAACCACACAGACCCATTCTCTCACATGTGGGCCTACCAGCTTTCTCCTGCTTGATTTGAAGCCGCTAGAATTGATGAGTGTATATATACGTCAAAAACGGTACCTCGTAAGACGTATATATACGGCCGCGACAGCCAAAGGGTTAAGTCTATGAATTACACCATCCTTCATAGATCCATATGCTGAAATACAGCATTGCAGTCACTCCCGGTTGATATACTGTATCTATATACAATTAGTACCTCCATATTCTGTCCATCTAATCTTCTTTCAACAAACTGACTGTATCCCACAAAGGCAGGGTGCCCCAAAAAGAAAAACAAAAGTTTCTCTTTTTAAATTTAGTAACATATACAGGAAAAGGGGTTACTGGTCCCTTGCTCTCAGCATTTTAGTCACCTCTTATGACATGCATGGCTTACAGAGGAAGAATTCTGTTCCACTCACCCATGGAGATTCCCTCTAATCTAACCTCTAACATTTTATTCCCTAAAGTAGGCATCAATTATCTGTAACCCAGGATTTAAAAAAATCCAAACTACTGAATATTGGCCTAAATTCTCATTCTTCAGATGAACACAATTAATTAATCAAAATATGTACTGATCAGTGTAATTTATTTTATTTTGGTTTGCAGTGCACTGGCCAACAGGATTCTTTGTGCCTTTTCACCATTTTGAGATCATATTACTCCTACTGAATAACTTGTAACAAGATAGTAAAATATTTGGTAGGTAAATGAAGACAGCCCTTATTATGTGTACTATGCACAAAGTCGAGATCAGGCAGCATGCAGTCAAGCAGCAATATGAAGAGCTCTAATACTGGTAGGCCAAGTGTGTTGAATACAGCAGCCAAGAAATAAAAATAAAATTCTATGCAGACACTATGTAAAGAATTTTTTCCAAAGAAATGGATAAGGTTTATGAGTGGATTAGAGAGGATGAAAACTTGCATTTAAGTGGCAATTTAATACATGACAAAGCCAGAGGACATGCTCCCTACCTGAAATGCTTAAAATATCTAAATGTTATTCTTTGTTGCCTAGCAACAGCACTGTCAACTTAACACTTCTATATTACTCAGGCAAGAAATATGACTAGCACATGCAATATACTCATACTTCACCTTAAGTCTTCTGAATTTATAATATATATTTGCTTTTATGTAGCTTCTTCTTATTGTAAGGTACATAATTAAAAACAGAGCAAAAGGATAACCAAGGGAGAAATATTCTAACTTACTGAATACTTGGGCAACATTATTTTAAAGGGTTGAATATATGCTCAAACTAGTGAATTTGATTGTGGCTAATATTATCTTCTTACAAATGAATTTTCTTTAGTATGTATAGAATAGGAACAGAGGAAATAATACATAAAACAATATAATCTTATTTTTTGAGAAGTTGTGTAAGATAAAAGACTGTTGAAAACACTAGGTGAGGATTCATTTTATAAATGATTAAGAATTAGAAAGCAAGACTGCATTTGGTTAAGCAACTTACCTGATGCACGTGTAGGTCCTGAAGTAAAGGATGCTGGGAAGACGGGACAGTAAACTGATGAGATGAATGCTTCAAAGGTTGTAGCTTCACTGTACTGTTCTATGATAGTGTCTAGTGCCCGTGATCGCTCTTCATAACTAATGGGGAAAAAGAATATACATGATGAAAGCATTTTTGAATTAAAGGCTTGCTTTCTGATGTACTAACTTTGTTCTATATACACTCAGTAGCCACTTTATTAGGTACCCCATTCTAGTACTGGGTAGTGCCCTCTTTGTCCCCAGACCAGCTCTGAATTCTTCATGGCATGCTACTGCAACCTATCCACTTCAAGGTGCTCTTATGCATACCACTGTTGTAGTGCATGGTTATTTGAGCTTGAACCAGCCTGGCCATTCTCCTCTGACCTCTCTCATTAACAAGGTGTTTTTGCCAACAGAACTGCTGCTAACTGGATGCTGTGTGTTTTTCACACCATTCTCTGTAAATTCTAGACTGCTGAGAATGAAAATCCCAGATCAGCAGTTTCTGAGATATACTTAAACCACCTTGTCTGCCAACCATAATCATTCCATGGTCACCATCTCGTCTGCCAACCATAATCATTCCATGGTCAAAGTCACTTAGATAACATTTATTCTCCATTTTGATATTTGGTCTGAAGAACAATTGTACCTCTTGACCATGTCTGCATACTTCTAGGAATTGAGGTGCTGCCACTTGATTGACTGATTAGATATTTGTATTAATGAGCAGGTACAGAGTTGTACCTAGTAAGTGGCCAGAGTGAATTTCTTGATGCTGTACTAATACTCATCAAGCAATAATCTGTAACTAATTGACAAATACTTTCGTCATCATTCTTAGGTATGGATTTAATGACTTCTGTGAAAACCTTCAATAATTATTTTAAAATTTCACTTGATCCATATCTAAAAAGAGAATATCGGAAATTTTTCACCTCTAGATTTAAATGACTTTCAAGATGAATGTTAGTTAACCAACTTAATATTTATTAAGCTCTTAAAATATTCTTAAATTTTTGTGCATATGAAATAAAGCTTCACCCACAATGGAGCTTAATCAAATACAAAGAAATTCACTTCCTAAAGTCTTTGAATTACCAACATTCTTTATATGAAACTTTGCTATCACCAAATGGCATTTAAATCATTAGTTCACAATTGGTTGTATGACCGAGCCATCTGATAGTGTGCGGTGCTAATCTGGCCTTGTTTCTCTTGAAATTTCCTGTTTCAAGAGAAATTTTGTTCATAACATTCATTCATGATTTAGTTTTTTACAGCTTACAGATGTTGCATTTATGACTCAAGTAGGCCTAATTACTAGGCTGATTAACTAATGCAAGTGATCAAATTCATGAAAATGCTGCTCAAACTTAACACTAAAGTAACCCTTCTAATGCAATTTACAGAAAAAAAATGAATTATATTTTATGTTATGGACTACTGTACAAAATATTTAACACAAGTTACTTAAAGGTAGAATACTGTAGAGAACTGCACATGTAAGTGTATATTAAAAGCAAAAGAATACCACGTGGCCAATATTAACCCTTTAAATGTCGAGACCTCTGATCACAAACCTGTTCTCAGTGTCGAAAAAATATTAAAAAAAAAAAAATAGTTTTTATCAAAATCTTAAGAATGTTTTTCTGATTGTTTTAAAATAATTTTTTTTTTTTTTTGCGATCAGTACGTACCGAGATATAGAGGCGTGAAGTTGACAGAAAGTGAACAGCTTATGGCAACATCAGCAACTGCTGCTCACTTCAAATCAAATCAAATCAAGTTTATTCTCTATAAGGGTTCCAATGTGGAGTTTACAGGGTTTGGATATTGTGTGATTTACATGTTATAAAATACTAATTACAGAGGGGGCCACTAGGACACTTAGCATGGCTAGGCATTTTGGGCAGACTTAGATTAATTCTTAACATTAAATCCTTACAGATTATGGTATTAAGGCTAGGTGACTATGTTATAATTTGTGAGTTTAGCAATGTGAATGCTTTTGTTTTAGCACAATACAAAGTGTCTATATTTGAGTATCATAGGCAAACTTATGACTAGTTAGGATTCATTATTTTAACCCTTTCAGGGTCCAAGGCCCAAATCTGGAGTCACGCACCAGTGTCCAAGAATTTTCAAAAAAAAAATTTGTTATTTTTTCTTATGAAATCATAGAGAATCTTTTTGTGAAGGTAATAAAACAAAAAGTACGAAATTTGGTGGAAAATTGACGAAATTATGCTCTCGCGAATTTTGATGTGTCAGCGACATTTACGAATCGGCGATTTTGCCGACTTTGACTCCCATTTTAGGCCAATTACATTATTCCAATCAACCAAATTCTTAGCTATTTCACTAGTATTACTTCTATTCTATCGATTGAGCACAAGAAATCGCCAAGTCAACTGTTTCAACTACAAAATAAAGTGATCGGAAATTGTTAATTTGGCCAATTTAACACAAAGTTCAAAATATTTCAATTTCAAAATAGGGTCCAGAATAAACAATGTAGGCATTCCTGGCACTAAACTAACGTTTCCTCTGTTCATTAGTTATGTTTTGAGGCTTTACAAATAAATTCCATTTTGATTTTTTATTCACATAATGAATTTTTATTCACACCAAAAAATAGAAGATTTACTGTTATGCAATACTGTAATAATTGTATAAATATCATCACCATATTTGTGAATGTATATTAGACCCACCAGCTGACGTGTATTAGACGTGTGAGGTCGTTTGTTTACTCTTGAATATTGGCAAAAATTTAACATTTCTGCTACTTTGAGCTCTGTTTCAAGCCATTTCCAGTGCTAAAACCAATCAAAATCATCTCTATTTCTGTAATATGTCTTCCATTCTATCAAATGAGACCAAGAAATCGCAAATACAACTATAAAAAACATACGAAAAAACACTGCAAAGTTGCTGTTTTAATTGAAAAATCATGATTTAAGTTTTTTTCTCTCATTATACACAGTGTGCTGCAGGATCTGTTTTATGTGGTGCACACATACCACATAGATGTATTCTCTCATATCTAGGCCCAAATGTACCACTCACAGTTTATCAGAGTGAGCTGAGCTCATGGCGTAGATCTACGGTTTGGACCCTGAACGTAAAGCCGTAGATCTACGGGACGGACCCTGAAAGGGTTAAGATTAAGATTAGTATTTCTGTGTTTATAGTCAGTGGGTGAGTGAGTGTAATTGTGAACCACCAGGTGGTTATCATGTAGTTAGTTGTAGGGGTGTATCAGGGAGATAAGATGTTTTCTAACTGTAGTTTTGAAAGTGGTGAATGTGTCTGCAGTTCTAGAGTTTTCAAGTAGGGTGTTCCAGATTTTAGGTCCTTTGAAATACATTGAATTTTTGTAAAGGTTTAGTCGGACACGGGGAATGTCATAGAGATGTTTGTGTCTGGTGTTATGCCTGTAGATCCTGTCACAACTATCAAGAAAGCATTTTAGGTCAAGGTTAATATTTGAATTTAAGGTCCTGTAGATATAGATTGCACAGTAGTAAGTGTGGATGTTCTGAGCAGGGAGTAAGTTTAGATCTATGAAGAGTGGAGGGGTGTGTTGCCAGGGATGGGATTTAGTGATTATTCTTACTGCGGCTTTTTGTTGGGTTATTACTGGCTTTAGGTGTGTTGCTGCAGTTGAACCCCAAGCACAGATAGCATAGGTGAGGTATGGATTTATAAGTGAATGGTATAGTGTGAGAAGGGCAGTTTGCGGCATGTAGTATCGTATCTTGGAGAGGATCCCCACCGTTTTGGATATTTTTTTTGTTATGTGTTGGATATGGGTGCTGAAATTTAGGTTGTTGTCGAGGTATAGGCCAAGGAATTTGGTCTCATTATGTCTGGCAATTAATGTTAAGTTGTGCAACACCTGCTCTGCTACCAAACATAATATAGTAGGTTTTGTCAGTGTTAAGTGTAAGTTTATTGGCTGTCATCCAAGTCGATATTTTGAGCAGCTCCTCGTTAACAATGGTGTTGAGGGTGGTAATATTATTTTTACTATTCCAGTTTTTTGCTTTCTTTTCTAATATTTTATTTTTTCAAGTAAGTTTCGTGGCCTGTGAGACCAATACATGTACAATGCATAATGTATATATATCCACTCGTTGTATGCAACACAATAACCGCACAAACAGTGTTATCATTATACTTACAAAACTGTTTACACAAACCCACGCTGCCTTCCCTACCACACCATCTTCCCCACCAACCCACACCATCTTCCCCACTACCCACACTGTCTTCCCACCACCCATGCTGGAAATAAGTCACTGACTTTTTTGAGTTATCCTGGGTTCTCTACATATGCTGCTATGTATGATAATCTATGTAACTGTATTCTTGAATACCTGAATAAACTAATACACCGTCTTCCCAAACTACCCACACCATCTTACCCACCATCCACGCTGTCTTCCCTGCCATCCAAGCTGCCTTTCCCAACACCCAAGCTGCCCATCCCCCCCCCCCCACCAACCAAGCTGCCTTCCCTTTTCACTATCTGTATCTGGTATCCTGGGCATTGCTTTTGGTCACAAATTCCTCAAAACCATGAAATTCATCTTCAATGACACTTCCATCTGTGTTAGAACTATCACTTGGGAAGAGAAGAGTCCCAGATTTGCCGGGGAGTCAGATATTTCTTACCGTTAGGCATGCTGAACAAGGACTACTGAAATGGCATTCCCACAAGGCACCACTGGTTCCCCAATTTTTTTTACACTGCGGACACTGACTACATAGATTCATTCTCTCACGTGTAGGCCTACCAGCTTTCTCCCGCTAGATTTGAAGCCGCTAGAATTTTGGCGTAGTACTACGGCACCAACACTGGCTCATAACCCATAGTATTATGGTACCAATGGTGAAAGAGTTAAAGCTATATTTTTTAAACATACCAACAATTTCCCACTGCAATTGGGTGACCCAAAATTGGAGGAAAAACAGTCACCTTTATTCATTCGTTTGCTGTCTTGCCAAAAGTCCTGACATGACAGTTCAAATGACCATCTTAACTGCAACATGGTCACCCCTTCTTCAGAGTGCAAGCACTGTACTTCTCACTTCTAAAACTCAAG